AGTGTACATACAGCGTCCACCGACAGACACTCAGAAGCCCAAAAGAGCACACACACGGAATGTGGACGTCCACAGGACCGTGGTGCACATACACCAACCGGCTCTCATCTGGTTGCACGTTGCAGGCAGACAGGACCTAGAGGCAGAACCTGCTTGCACACCCTCAGCAGTTCAGAACGAGTTGGTTTCAGCGCTAATTCAAGGCATCGGCACCGCATTGATCCTGGGGTAGAACCAGTGGACTTGCCTGTTCTCCACAGCGACTCCACAGTAGCCTAACACCCCATACACACCCACCCAAACTCAGTACCTCTTCAGGGCCTAAGCTTGCAGGGACTTCAATACTGACTGTGTAGCTCAGGGATGCTGCTCAAATCAAAGAATCTGAGCCCCAGAAGAGGATCAGACCTTGAGAATCCTGCGTGAAACAGACAAATTCGGCGTTACACTAAAGTGGTGTTAGAGTGTGAAGCAGGCAGAGATCAGAGTGCCGGTATGAATTCTCTCTTGGTGGATCACGCCTAGCGCTAGCTTTTGTCCAGGTTCCCATGTACAGACTGCTCTTTATGTGAAAACAAGCAGAGGAGATGTATGTGGCTCTAAGGATGAAAGTAAAGTTTGTACAAATATAGGTAGCAATGTACACCTAAAGAATCTCTTTCCAGTTTGTGGGTATTGTTGTCAAGCTCTGTTGGCTGTCTAGGGCAGAGATGACTGCTACCATGAAGTTCTGTGATGAGATCATTTATGGGACATATAGCCACATATAGCTGATATATAGTCTAGCCACCAAAGGAAGGGATTTGGGCTGTTTTAGGGTAGTCTCCCCATAGTAAAGGGCTGAGTTGCTTCTCCAGAGTCTGGAAATGTAGCAGAAGCATGGTCAGGGGGTCAGGTGTGCCTGGCCTGTGACAAAGCTCTGCAGGTAGCTGGTGCAAATGCAGCTAGCAGTATAGAAATACAAATCTGTTCATGAGCGTACACAGAGGTCTGGTGACCAAGCTCAGCAAGAGACAATGTTACACAGTTAAGGATGCTAAGCTGGATGGCCAGGGAGGTGAACTTGGTAGGAAAAAAAAAGATAAAGTTAAGAAATATTTACAGGCCAGTGAATGAAGCTAAGTGATAGAGTGGCTAGCCTCATGTGTTCACACGGTCCTGATTCAATTCCCATCCCTGGCACAGCAAAGAAAGGTTTATGTGCACACACAGGGTTCTATAGGTTTGGAGCTTATTTTACAGCAGAGCCACTGAAATAGGAGAACATATAGAATAAAAGAGAAGAATTGGCCTAGACAGATCTCAGTGAAGCAATCTAAGCAGAAGTCTATCTCCTGTCCAAATGACTCCAATTAGCATATGTGCAGAGGAATAAGCCTGGTGTCATGGGTTAGTCGTGTATTTGTTAGACATGTACTTGCACTAACCAGTTTCTGGGGCTGAGCTGGGAGAGAAACAAGGAGGAGCTAGGGCCATATCCCTGGTCCCTGTGTGGCAGGGAGAACAGACAGCTTGGCCCCTGGCGCTGGCTATCCCCTATCCTTGGGCCGCCTCACTCACTCTGGGTTTTGTAGGGTGCCCATCGTTTGGTGTGACTTCTGTGTTTCTCAGTTTCTTCTGTCCGTTGTCTTTCTTTTTCTGCTTCTTCAGTTCTTTCACTATTCTGTATTATGTGACCACAAAGAAGGACAAATAGCAGGATTCAGGAGGAGCTATAAATACAAATGCTCTTCATAGCTGTAGAGACCATTGATGATAAAAATCTCATGGATACTTTTTACATGCACAGGACAGAAATTTTTATTTTCATGTAAAAATCTAAGTACAGCTTTGAAATTTTGTTTCTTTTCAGTCTGTTGGCTGCTGCCTCTTCTGGTGTCTGTTTCTGTATTTGTTTCTCTCAGGAACATTTCTTCTTCATTAAAACACTCAAAGTCTGAGAGCCTGCCTTAGAATAATACTCTATTTCCCCTGTACTGCCTTCTTTGGAGTTGGGCAAAGAATTTTTTTGAGGCAGAAGGAGCTAGATGGCCCGCACTGCACACAGGGACCTGGAGAGAGGCATTTGGAATTTGACAGCAAAGCTGGTACCTCCTGGGACACAGCAAAGGCTTAGGAGTCAGTCAAGCAGAAATCCTCCTGAGTCCACCTGGGAGTTGAAGGCACCCTCTGAGCAGGCTGCAGGCAAGGATGTGGTGAGGCTCTGGGATGCCAGTGGCTGCCCCATGGCCCCCAGCAAGGCAGAAGAATGGGGTCCCAACTCTCTAGAGCAGGCCCTGAGAACAATAAGAAGGAAAAATCATACAAACTGTAAATGTCCCAGCTCTCAGTTAGGGTTCAGTTTAGCATCTGAGCAAGAGGGGGATGGAATAAGACCAGGGATCAGAGACAGGGCTCCCAGGATGCTGAGGCACCCCACGGAGATCTTACTACTGAGGAAAGAACTGACCTACACCAACCCTAACCTCAGGGAAGAGGAAGGGCTTGGGGTTCAGGCTTGGGAGGAGAACAGAAGGTCCAGAGTCAGTGGACCTTGTCCTTAGGGTTTTGTTCCTGTGTTTGGTTGGAATAAATGAATCCACTGAAAGCTACTGCATAGGGTCCAGGGACCATTTTGTAGAAGCTGATCTGAGGGAAATAACTGTATACTGTGGCTCTTTATTAGAACTCAGCTTCAATCTCTAGGTCCACAAACTGGTCCCTGTGTTAGCTCCAAACTGCGTGAGAGCCCCACAGCCCATCAGATAAACAGGTCTTGGTTCTGGCCAGATGTGGATTCTCAGTGCCTTGTAACTTGTAACTTGGCGTCTGATCTGGCTTCTGCTGTGAGCCAGTGTGTGTGTGTGTATGTGTGTGGTGGTGGTGGGGGAATCCTCAGGGTTTCTCTCTCTCTCTTTCCTTTTTCTCTCTCATCTGGTCTTTGCTTCACAGCTTTTCTGCCTTCATTTGTCTCTGTTTTCAGGTCTCTATCTCCCCATCACACCCCTCCCCCTTTGTTAATTCAAAGGCTTCACACTGAGCCCCTCCCTACTCTTCCCAGAATAACACTGAGTAAAATGAGATAAAACCCACCGCCCATAGGTTTTTTTCCTGTCCTACTCAGCCCCCTCCTCCAGGGCTACAACCCCCACTTATTAATGTCAGATAATTGCTGGTGTGCAGCTCTGAGGAGCCAGAGCTGATACCAGGAAAGGAGAAGGGGGAGAGAAATAAATAATCATCTGCCTCCATTCAGTGTATATAGGTTACCTGATTTGCATATATGCTAATAATGTTATAATTACCCTGCTGTTCTGGCCTGTGATCAAGTTCTATAAATACATAGGATAGCAAAGCGAGGCCTAGCAACACCAACCCTAAAATCATCACGAATATGTATGTATATGTGTTCACTTATGTGTCCTCGAGTCTCCGAGCTGTTCTTTGTTATCACTCGTGGAGCCCAGCTCTTCTGCCTTTCAGCTGCCCCTCCTGTGTTTTGAGGCAATGCCGAGGGAGGAAAAAGGAGAAAACATGCTAGGTTATGTTTAATTCTTTGTATTAATTTCATTGTAAATGCTATGGCTATTTTTAGAAAAGATCAAAGATTTCCTAAAAATCACTGAATTCGATGATAGCACATGAATGCTCCTACCTCCCACAGGCCCACCCTTTGGGGTACAGGTTGGGGTTAGGAAACCTCCAGCTCGGCCTGTTGGGATGTTTCAGAAAGTGCTAGCATCAGAAGAAGTGGAATTGCCTTTCCCAAATCTGCCCCCGCCTGAGCAGCTGAACAAAACCAGGGGTAAGGCACACAGAGCGTGTGCAGTGCAGATTTTTGGGCTCTGGCGATGATGGCAAAAGTGGGGAGGAGGCTTAGAGAAACATAAAAAACGCAATCCACAGCTGTCTGCTTTTAATTATAATTATCCCCTCGTGCTTCCTTTCCGGCTAATGAGGGGGGAATGTAAATTTTCACCCCCTTTCTCTCCCTCCCTCCTTTCCCTGGCATTTAGGGGTGGGGAGAGTTCGGGTCCTCCTCCCCTTCCTCCCCTATCCCCTGGTTACTGGGAGAAAGGCAGACTCCAGAGGGTAGTGACAGTATGAAGAGATTTGTAGGAACAAAAGAAGGACAGGTTTGGATTGCTGGACACGTCCCAGAGTTGGAGAGACCCCCCCATTCCCCTGGCACCCCTCCCATGAACCCCCCCAGCTCCCTAGACAAGGAACTCAATGTCTTCCAGCCGGTGAGAAAGGAGCTAACGGGAGCCTTGGTCTGGAGGGAAGGGGGAGGGAGAGGTGGGGAGCTGGGGGTGCAAAATTAGTCTCAAAGGATCTTTATTTCTGAGCTACTGAAGCAGATGTAATCAAGGGGAGAGCAAAATAATCATAATGGGAGGAATGGGGGGGGGGGCTGGGCTAGAATGGGGGGACTGGGCTGGGAGAGGGGCTGAGAGTTGAGGGGCTGGGAGCTTGGAGCAGGGGAGTCTATTGCTCTCTCTCACCCCTCCAGAGTCTCCCTACTTTGAGATGGGGAAAGAAGGGCCAGGTCCACAGACTCTGACCTCAGCCCTCAGAATCCCTCCTTGGGAGTGTAGGGAGACTGGGCCAGGAGGTGCCTGGGAAGGCACCGGGGAAAGGGGACCCCCCCCCCCCCGCCCTGGGAGAGGGAGGTAGAAAGGACAGGGGGGGACAAAAGCTGTGGGGGAGTGGGAGAGAGGGGAGCCAGCACAGACTCAAGTGGCCTCCAGGTCTGTGGGACAAAAGTTGGAGGGAGATTTGTGTATGAGAGCGAAGGGGAGGGGGTCATGGGGAAGGGGGGGCTTTGACAATGAACTTGAGACAAACTTCATTAGCATGCAGGCCTGCTGTCTGTCACATCGAGCTCAGATCAAGTTCCCATGCAGGCCAGGAAAAGTGGGAGGGAGAGAAAGGGAGGGGCCCAGAGTGGGGTGAAAGAGAGAAAAGAGACCGGACCATTGTACCATTCTGGGCCCCAGCTTCCACCAAATATCGGGACCCCAGCCCTGGAAACCAACCCCCAATCACACTCGCTCCTCTAAGAACAAGATGATTTATCTCCCACTCTGAGTCTGTGGTCCCACCCCTCCTCTTCTGTCTGGACTTCCAAGAGCTGGTCACCCCCTCCAGCTCTCAGCCTTCATCTTCCAATTGTCACTTTCTCCTTCACCACTAAGATCTGGATTTTTGATTAGTTGGGCAGACTAGGTTAGGGGGCCAGAGGGAAGAACACCCCAAACTGTCACGTGGCAGACCATGTCCTCTTTCTGTGACTTCTTATCAGCTCCCTTCCCCAGCCTTCTCTTTCCTAGCATTTAATCACTCTCTGAAGTTTAAAAGTGAATTAAAACTCAAAGGAGCCTGGGGACAAGGGTACTTCTGTCACACCCTTTCTCTCCTTTCCTTTGGGGACAAGGGTGACCTGGAAGAACAATAGCGTCCCTCAACCCCTTCTACCAGCCTCAGGTTAGAAAAGGCAGCAGAGGAAGGTGGAGAAAAGGGTACAGATGACAAAGACCCCTTCCCACACAGACGTGAAGGGGGGGCTTCATCAGAGTGGGCTGTGATTTTGGTGGTGCTGATGTCTCCAGATAGGGGCAGCACCCCCTTTTTGCTGCCTTTTCAGGGAGAGCAGCAAGAGAAAGAAAGAGAGAAGCAAATGAAATTCCTGAATGGATAGACAGATGCTACGTCACCGGAGCCGCATCCTCCACTCCACAAGAGGCTAGGAGCTGGGGGGAGACAGGCAGTCCAGCTGCAGGGGCCACCGTGCTGCCTCGCCTCTTCACAGGAGCCTGGTAAGTAGCCACTGGGATCCTGAATAGATCCCAGCTCTCTCAGACATCTGAGCTGGGGGTGGGAAGGGATCCCCTAAAATGAATCAGAGCACCATAACCCTCCTACTTTGCTACTGGCTAATGGAGGCTGGTAAAATAATCACAGAAAGAAAAGGCTGATAAAAGATCTAGGGGGACCTCAAGAGGCATGAGGTCTGAATAAGGAGAAGGAGTTGGCCTAGGTGGGGCTTTACCTCCCGCTGCCAGGGTTTGTACTTTGAAAGGTGGCCCTGCCTAGCCGCCCAGAGCGCCTCTGGGGCCCCTCCTTCCCCTGGCCCCTGCCAGCCCAGACAGCTCACTAAGTTTATCAATGGGATTGGAGGAGGGAGCTATAGGGTCATGGTGCTACTGATCCTATTAATCTGCCCCTCCCTTCTCTCCACCAGACATGGCCAACATCTTAATGCTTACACCAGAGCAGAGGCAGGAGGGAAGGTTGTAGTGGAGGTGGAAGGGAAGAGAATAATGCTTGTTGGATTTAGGCTTCTGATCTTCCTTCCTCCCTCTGTCTCCTATTCTTTTCTGCTCTAGACTCGGCAGGTTTTAAGGGAAGAAAAAGTCTGAGAGACCCACGTTTCCAGGAAGGTAGAAAGCAGAATTGCGGGGTGGGGTGGGGTGGGTGGATCCAGAAAGATGTTATGGAGATTTAGATTAATTTCACTCTTCTTCCACCCCTTTGCAATGGACTGGTAGGTGGGAAGGAGGCAGAGGGAAGCCAAAAGCCAAACAAGGGGTTGCTGTAGATGCTTGGGCTAAAACAGAAGACAGCCCTACTCTAGCCCCTTCCTCATTTATCAAATAGAGGTGTTTTGTCTCTTTGGTGTTGTTTTAAGAAGCGTCAGGAGGTGGAGACCCAAGGCACTCTCCTGCCCCTAGCCCTCCACCACCCTGCACTTTCTATTTTGAATCACTGGGAGCATTGTAGGGCAGTGGAGGTCCAAACAGAGCCCCAGCTCCTGGTGCCCCAGAGGCCAGAATGCGGGGAGAGAGGAAGCTGCCAGCCATCATTCGTGTGCACAGCCTTGCATATGGGGCTGTGCCCTTCACCACTGTGTTCCTCAGGGCATTGTGTGTGTGCCTGGTGTGGATGGTGAAATAGCAGGGCAGAAGTCAGTGAGGAGAGGTGTAGCTGCCCCATAGACCCAAGCCCTCCCACTAATTTGGGTTGAAAGAGGAACCAGAGGTTCCTTGATATCCTTCTGCCTGTTTTCTGGTTTGTCAGCAAATTGGCATGGGATGGAGTGGTCCCTATTTGACATGATGCTAATGCAGTAGTTTCAGATTGAAGCATCCTTTTATGAAGTGGATGAATTAGCAGAGCCCAGGCTGGGGTCTAGTATTTGTGGGTGTAAAAAGTTGGGGGATATTCAGAGCACCCCCTAGAAATCAGGCTTGGGCATGAAGCTTATTCCTGCTCCCCAACACTCACACTCCTTTTCTCATTTTCCCTGCACTTAGTAGCCTACTTTCTTGACTTAAAAAAATTAGTTGTGGATTGTTTGAGGTTAAAGAATCCATCAGCTTCTCAACATATACACATAAACATACCAGTCCTGGTATTTTAGGAGCTCTGTTACCTAAACTATATGTCACTCTTGAAAACCCTAATTTAAACACACCCATCCTGTTATTTTTGGAGCTCAGTTACCTTTGCTACACATAATTCCCCCAAACTCCAATTTAACCTGAAAGCAAAGTACTGGGAAGACTACAAAGGGTGGACTGAGTTCTGTGCCCAATGTTAAAATAATGATAAATAACTGATTTGTATTCACACCTTTTGTGTTTGTGAAAAGGGAGGACAAAATTGATAGTACTGGTGTCCTTATGAATCCTGAGAGATATACATGGATGGGTAGACAGGTAATGACAGGGAGGGCTGGGGAAAGCTAGAGAGATTACAATAGAGAATATCTTCGGTGTGTACAACACTTTACAGTTAATAGTGTCATTAGATCTAGACAGACAAAAATCCATACTCAGCCAGATTCTTCATTCCATTCAAAGTGTGGTCTCTGGTAGACCATAAGCATTAGCAATCTAAGAGGAAGCAGGGTTCATTGGTCAAGAATTAGCTTCTCTAAATTCAAGACCAAATTTCCATCATGGATTTCGCTCAAAACCTGGGCCTGAAGGTTTTGGATGGTAGTGAAGGAGGTTGTGAGGACCAGACAGGATTAGAGTCATTCACATAAGATGAAGCGACAGGGGGCCCTAGCCAGCCTGCAGGTCTAAGCTTTTCTCTTTCAACCTCCAGGGGATGGCCTGGAGCCCTAGAAAAGGAAGAGGGAAAGCCTAATGCTCAGGTCCTGGGGGTGCAGCACTAGGGGGAGTCACAGAAGGCTGGGAGCTGTTAGGGAAGAGATCAGAGCCCAGGACTCTAACCTTGACATTCTCCTCCTTACAGGAGCTGGGGAGCTGAGAAGCAGCAGCCTCATTTGTTTCTGGTGTCATCATAGGTGGACCTCTGGCTGTTGGGGTATTTATTTTCTTCCTTGTTGTTTGTGATGGTGGTGAGGGTGGGGGGCAAAAGGGGAAGCTGGCTTTATCACCTGTGTTTATTCTTGTCCTCTCCACCCATTCCCACCTCTGATTCTTCTCTAATCTGCAGTGAGACCTGTAAAGTTGGTAACAATGGGAACAGAACAAGATAGCTTGGGAAGAAAAGCATCAGTTCTGTGACAGAGAGGAAAACTGTGGGGATCCAGGAACTCTCCTGTCTCCTGCAGACTCCCTAGGAGAGAGAGAGACAATGAACCCTAGGGGAGGTGGTTGGTTGCAGAGGGAAACACAGCTATCCATGCATGGTGATGAGATGAGAAAGGAAGGGAATGTTGGGTTGAGAGGAGTGGGCCCTGTGAGCAGGTATGTGTGCCAGATCACGAGGGCATGCATCATATCTTTAAGTGTCAGGAGGTGATACTGTTGGAGCGCACATGGATTTGCCCTTGCATTTTTCTGAGTTGATTAAGTTTGAATGTGTGTGTCTGGTACCCTTGGACATGGTACCCATGCTTACACCCCTTAAGGAGGCCTATGCCACTGGTCAGGAATCTTGTAGGAAGGGTCCAATCTGGATGAACCAGCAACCCTCTCCCATCTCTGCCACCCTGTTCTCACCTCCCCAGCATCCCAGGGGCCCTAGGGCGAGTGAGTGCTGTGAAGCTCAAAACTGAATTGGGAGCAGGCCAGTAAGATGGTGTTTAGATAGGCTGGCCACTCCACCAGAGGAAAAGATACTCTTAAAGGGGAAAAGATGGTACTCCTAGGACAGAATACTCCTCTGTAGTATGTCTCCACCACTCTCTTTAACCTCCCCTGCTTGCAAACTATCTACATATATCTGTGTCTGTATCTATATATTCTATATTCACACAGTCTCACTATATTTTTACTGTCAATTCCCATTCTTATTTGTCACAACCCCATAGACAATGCAAATATTTTATAGGAAAGAATAATGTATGATCATGTTTACAATAATAATTCATTCATAAAACAGAAATAAATATCTGTTCTTAGCCTCTCTCAAATGCAGCTTTCATTTGTGTCTTCAAGACAAATTAACCTGGTAATTGAAACAAAGAGAAAATATGTCTTTATTGAATTACCTGAATATTTCAAGAGAGTGGTTTACTGCCAAAATGTGTTTTGGGACATGAATTATGCAGATCTATCTAAAAGCTGCATCCAGAGTAATAATTCTGACCATGTTTTTCTCCGCATGATCCCCTTCAGACAGACAAAAAGAGGGCAGTTCAAGGGGCATGGAGGGCACTGAAAAGACCACAGGCTCCTGAGTTGAGGAGACCCACACTCACAGGGATTAGCCAGGGATTCAGGACACTCTCCTCAGAGTCACCCAGAATTTCCCTGGAAGAACTCAAGGTGGGATCCACAGGTCATCTCCCTGTGAGAACTCTAGGGAGCAGTGTCACAAGCTCTAGCTAAGGCCTCCCTAGAGAAACTGAGGCTGGTGGGCCAACACCAGAGGACATCCACTTTGCTCCAGGAGTTTACATCCTACAGGCTTGCCATATCTGGCGTCTTCCCTGTTCAAAGGAACCACAAGATGGTCATGAACACAGCCCACTAGGCACAATGCCCCATCCCCTCCCCCTCACCTATCTTGGAATCCCACAGAAGGCAAAGTGATCAATGCCCTGCTCCTCACTGTAATGCCCACAACTGTAGAATGGCAAAAAAGACAGGTGTACACACAGGAGCACACAGACCTTTACTAACTTATCAGTTCCTGGCTCTCTTCCTGTACTATGTTTCTATACTCTGCCTAAAGTTTGCCTACTTTGTTTCTTCCTGAACAAAGAGTATGTCAGAAATTGTCTCTGCCCTCAAGAGGCTGTCTCATTTGCCACCCTTCAACTAGTTCCTTGTTTGAAAAGGGAACAACATGGATTGATATGCGAAGCTATTCCAATTCCCATGCAGTGCTGAGTTCTCCAGGTTTTTTTCTGGCTTCTACTCCTGTAGGGGAAAGGAACTGCTTCTCCATTGGAATCAAGGCAGATACCCCTGGACGGGAAGTTGGGTTGTCCAGGAAACCTGTCAAATTCAAACAGAAGTGTATTTTTCCAGGAATCTGGACAGGGTGGGGATTCCATGTGAACATGCCAAGACAGTTTAGAATAATCTTTTTGCCTTTGTGTGCGTGTGGGTGGTCTCTCCTTAATCTGGACCTTCTATTCAGACTGAAAACCTCTTAGAACTCAGACCCACAGTAAAAGGCAGGAAAGTGTTATTCTTTATCTAGTCACATGGGGGAATTCTGATATATGTGTTTTTAGAACACAGCTATACAACGGAATGTACCCATTTCTCTCTTGACATTGGTTTTTGAAGAATTCTAATTAAGTCTGAATTTGATAAGGGAATCTCTCCTAGGGGGAAGAAAAACTTTGTGTCCTCTTCCCTCTCAACAAAAATACAGCAATGCCTGAAAAGTTGGTCTCTTGATGCTGGAAAGGAGAGGAAAAGAAGGTTTACTTACAGTGCTTTAGGGAGGGCAAGAGAGAAGATACTTGTGGGGAGAGTTGCTGGTGTGTCTGGAGAAATGTAGGCCCAATTTCAAATTCTGGAAGATCCCATGATAGCAGTGATTAAATGGTTTGCTGAGAAATCTTTGAGGGGGCTGTCTTGCATGGAGAGAAAAGGCTGGGATACACTGTGTTTCTCCAGGATATATAAGGGTGCATATTTAAGGAATGTATTAGCAGCAAGCTGACAGGAAGGTCTATCTGGGAGAGTATTTGGTTCCATTTATTTATTTATTTATTTATTTACTTACTTACTTACTGCAACTGTTCTGGAGGAGCAGGGATGTCAAGGCTTCCCCTATGTATTCTGAACTGCAAGGGCAGCTGGGAGGACATGACAATATGGAATGGTGTAGGGAGTGGACACTGTCTGCCTCTTCTCCTTTCACTGGCTCTTGTACTCACTGTTCTAGGGTGGTCATATGTGAAGTATTGGCACTGTGGAAGCCTTCCTCTTGGGTAAGGTCCTTGAGTGGAAGCCAGCAGAGGGAAATGCTGTGCCAAACCTGAGAATACCCTGAGATCCTGTAACAATTCCAGTAGGTAGGCAGCTTCAAGGCCACTGAGCTTTCTCCTGACTCAGACTATGCCCACTGTCTCCAGTAGCAGTGGTTATTCAGACATGATTCCGTCTATGAGAGGTACACCAGATTAACCCATTGTCCATTCACTTGGCTGAATAGCTTTCCAGCTTGGCTTTGTCCAGGGCTAGGCACACCCACAGATAAAACAACATGGGCAGACCTGAGATCAAACAATGGTCCCTTGGAGTGCACCCCACCCTAGGGACCACCTATAGTCCAACATCAGGAGAGCAAATGGTGCTAACTGACCCATAGGATCCAGGTATCTGAGCTTTAGAGTCTCTCTGGGGAGGGATGCAGAGGAATGTGAGTGGAAAGGTGGAGTGTCTGCTCCTTGGCGCGGACTGCAGCTCCTAGAAGCCAGAAGATTGCTCTCTGATCTCCTCTGGGTAACCAGAATCTGGAATGTGCTATCAGCAGAGCTGTGTGCCACCCAAGGCTGAGACAGCATTATTTAGGCTCTGAATCACCTGCAAAAAGGATGAACCAGGAATATTCTGCTGAGCCAGATTGGGAGGCAGGTTTGGAAAGTTGAGACTGGATGGAGCCTTGTTAGAGACCGGTCTTTTCCCTTCAGGACAGAGTTGAGGGTGCAGGTGCACAGAAGCAGTTCCTTTCCCCTAAAGTTGGGAAGGAGTCTTGACCTCGCTCAGGCCTCAGCGTCTCCCAGTAGGAGTCCCAAACTCCAGAATCTTTCCCTCACTGTTTGAGTTGAAAACCATCCTAAAGATTTGTATCACAGTTTGGTAAGGATCAGAACGGGGAGAAGCATAAAGAATATTGAGTCGGGAAGAAGGCGAAGAGGTAGTTTCGGGGTATCTTGTCTCTTGTGGAAGGGATCTCTTTTGTACCTTCGTGCCTCATCCCGGTGCAATACACCTAGGGCCACAATGGAAAATATATATCCAAGAGCGTTGTGGATCAGAAACACAAACAGCAATACATTAGCCGTGGCAGGCGGGTCTCGGAGATAGGGAGGGCAGGCAGCAAGAGGCAGAGAATCAGCACACAGACGTAGTCCCTCCCACACAACCCTCCTCCCACCGCCACCCCCTACCATTCTGGCTAGGAAGAGAGCCCCAATTGTGAGTCAAGGCCGGGCCGGGGAAGGAGGAGGGGCGGGGCCGAGAGTGGAGGCAGTGACGTCACGCTAGGTAGAGCCAATCAGAGGCTTGCCTGAGGAGGGAGTGCGAAAGGATGAATGAAAAGTCCGGAGCCGGAGCGCGCGGGGCCAGAGCCGCGGTGGAGGCCGAGCTGGGAGCTGGGCAGGTGAGACCCGTACCGCCCCGCTCGCCCTAGCTCGGTGAAGGCAGAGAACTGGGCGAGCTGTTCCGTCCCGGCGTCCGCAAAGCGCGGGCGTTCAGAAGTCGGGTCCCTGTGCTCCACCGGCTGTAGCCGCGCGGAGGACTGCGCCGAGGGCTCTGGTGGACACTGGCTGTCACGTAAGTGGCCTCCCCGCCGTGGGCGCGGAGTGGGCGCGCGCATAGGGGACCGCTTGCAGTGCCTTCACTTCCGCGCCCTTTGGGGACCCCCTGGACCTGCTCCTGGTCAGTCCCTGGCCCGATCTGTATTCCTACCAGCCCCTAGGGCATCTCTATTAGTGACCCAGCTATGGTTATAGCCTTGGGTTGTTTGTGATCCTCCCAGCACAAAGCCGTTCCTCGGGGATTCGGTAGGGCCTGGGGCTCGGCTCCCGGTCGGACCTCCGCCACTCTGCTCTCCGCGCACCTGGCTCACACGTGCTTTCTCGGATCCCGTGCTGGGTGGGTTCTTTGCTGGGGAGGCTCTGGGGCGCCTTGCCCTCCGCCCCACAGGTTTCCCTTTCCTGACGCTAGAGGATTTCCCAGCTTCCTACAGGGGTAAGCTGGGCTTCACCCCTTCGTTGGCGGCCTGGCTCCTCTCTTTCCTCGCGTCCCCTTCACTCTCGCCGCCCTCGAGAATGGAGAGTCGGCCGGGGCACTTTGCGCTGCGCTTCCCAAGCGTCCATGGACCCAGCGAAGGACTCACAGTCTCCGGAGGAGGCGCTGAAGCCCAGCGAGGTCGGAGGCTTTGGCGCGATTGGTTCCTGCAGGCTTCCCGGGTGGCACGAAAAGCTAGGAAGCTCATCCTCCCGGCGCTGGCAAGACTCCCACGTCTGATCGAGAGGGACACCGGGAAAGGGGGCTTCGGAAGCTTTTGGAGTCTGGGTCCGGGGTGGATCCCAGACCTCGACACCAGAGGCCATGGCATCCTTTCCGCGCCTTTTTCAGTCTCTCGTGCCTGCATCCCTGGGTCTGAATCATGCGGTCCAGATTCCATCGCTCTCCGCCGCCTCCACGCGTGTCTCCTCCTCCAACCCCCACGGGCGGGCTGCGACTGGAGGCTGCGGAGGCCTGGGCGGCGATGGCGGCCAGGTGGCTGCGTGGAAGAGGCAGCAGCCGCAGCCAGGAGGCGGGGTTGGTTGTTATCTTTGGTTATCTAGCTGTATGAGTGGTGTGGAGTTTTCATAAAGCTAGATAACCGAAAGTAAAAATAACCCCATACACTGCGCACAGGAACTGAGCGGGGGCGGGCGGGAGGTCTGGGCGCAAAAGGACCTTGGCTCACTCGAGAGACTTTCCAGGTAGGCGGCGCCGGCCCACACCTTAGCCCCGGGATGCAGCACCCCGTTCCCCTCCTTCCTGGCTCCGCGGTCCCCTGTGATTCCCCTCTGCTCCCTGAGCTTGGAAAGCTGCGTCCAGTGAGCAATTCGAGCAATCCGTGGAAATCTTCGCAGGACTGTGCAGGACGTGCCTGGGGCTCCTGGCCCAGGCTTCCCCTAGCAGCACAGGGGAGCCCTTTCTCTCCAGGCCGCCGCTGCTATTGCTGGCAGGGCATGATTGTAGGAAGGCACCTGAGAACCTTGGCCTGGGATTTGACCCTCTCTCCAAACCAGCTTGACTAGGTGGGAGTGGAGAATCTCCAAATGGAAGTGAGTGGAAATAGGGCCAGGATTACTGAAGTGGGAGTGGGGTTTGCTCTACAAAAGAATTAGCAAGCAAGGGAACCAGCTGGACAGAATAACAGGAGACCTTTTGCCCAACTACAGGTCTGGGGCAATGGAGTGCAAAATATCTCTTCTTCCTTTTCATATTCTCTCCTCCTTTGGGCATAGCGACAGAGAGTGATGCCTTTAAGCAATTTTCATGCTGCTTTTGTTATCAATGACCACAGGCTTTGAGTTGGAATCTTTCAGGGCACCCTACTCTCTTACACCAGCCTCACTCTTGGAAATCACATACAAGAGCAAAAGGCCCGAAGGAGCTCAAACACGAAGGACTTTGTAGTTTAGTATCTATGCTACTCAGAGAAAGCAAAGAATTAGTAAGACTCATCAGGGCCTTTCCTAAAAGAATCCATTTATCTGGCCTGACCTAAATATTTTGAGCAAAAGAATGGTTAGGTTCAGCTGAGGAAAGGAGGGTCTATAGTTGCTTTGCAGAGTAAAAGTAAATGTGGCCAAAGCTAGAACCCACCATCTGTCTGCTTTTTTCATCACTTCCCACCTCTGTTACCTGGCATTCCCGGACATGGGGCAGTAATGAGTTGCATCCACAGGAGAACTGGGCAAAATGACCTTTTTTGCTGCCTCTGCTTTTCAGTATAAATTTAAAATTTCCTGATTTTTGTAGCTAGAAGATAATTACTCAATTATATATTATGTAGGAAAGATATTGGTGAATCCAAACTTTTAAAAAAAGAGGGGGGGGGGAGGTTTAGGGACCCTGGAATACATATGTCTCCTCTCCTTAGAGATTTGGAGAATGGAGAGATTAGCACTTTTCAGCTATTTGGAATTTGAGTTTCTTGGAGAAAAGGAGGGTGGAGATTGGATTAGGGAGAAAGGGAATAGGTTTTAGGCTTGGACTAATAATCCCCAATTTATACCTACATGCCCTTCTTCAATCCCCCAACGTCAAGAGGGGCTGTTATTAACTCCATTTTATGGGTGAGCCACCACACATCCCAAGGGCTTCAAACCCGAGTTTTTCCCACCGTGCTTGCTTTGACAGCATATATACTAAAGCTGGAACGAGGCAGAGAAGATTAGCATGGCCTCTGCACAAGGATGACCCAAAGCTTTTCCCACTGAATTTGCCTGTGGGAAGCTGGAGAAAGAGTGAGGTAGGGAGTGGAGGTGAGTCTGCCCTGTGACAGAGGGAACAGTTCAGGAAAGAGGAAAGGCAGCCAAGAGGAAAGGACCAGTTATGAGCCACCAAGAAAGACAGGCTTCTAAGTCAGGCTTGGTGCTGTGCCTAAACTGTCTTGTATAAAATATTTAGCTCAAGCCAGGTAAATGAATTCTTTTAGGAAAGGCTCTGATTAATCTCCCCTAGTTACATGGTGGGAGATTGAAGCAGAAGGATCACAAGTTTAAGGCCAGACCGAACAACCTAGTCCCTCAAAATGTGGGGAGGGGTGAGACAGGCTCTTACTTTGTATTTCAGGCTGGCCTTGAACTCAGTATGTAGCCCAGACTGGCCTCAAACTTGAGATGATCCTCCTGCTTCAGCCTCCCCAGTGCTGGGATTACAGGCATGCTACACTTAAAAATAAAAATTTAAGGGGTTGGGGATTTAGCTCAGTGGCATAAGCACCTGCCTTGAAAGCAGGCAGTCATGAGTTTGATCCCTGGTACTGATAAAAAGGAAAAAGACAAAAAAAAAAAAAAAAAAAAAAAGATGAGGGATGTAGCTCAGTGGTAGGATGTGTTCATAGCATGCATGAGACCCTGGATTCAATCTCTGGTACTGCTCCCATCAGGCTTTCTGGTTGGTTTCTTTTTGACTGTTTATTTTTATTTTGTTGTGCTGCTGGGGTCAAACCAGGGCCTCTAGCAGGCTAAGCTGGACAAGTTCTCTACTATTGAGCTACATCCTGTCCCCTTCCCGATTATTTATTTATTTATTTATTGGTACTGGGGATTGAACTCAGAATCTTACACTTGCCAGGCAGGCATCGTGCCACTAAGTTTCATCCTTGGCTCAACTTTTTTTTTTTTTTTTTTAGTGCCAGAAATTGAACTCAGGACCTCGTGCTTGCCAGGAAGGCCCTTATGCTGCCAGGCCTCTCCCCATGTTTTTAACCTCTTGTAGCTTGTTGGAAAGATGCATTTGGGATCCTTTGAAGTTCATCCACATGGAACTTAGAATCTATATTACTAACCACAGAGAGTTTATATTATTAATGTTGTCTTGTAGGAGCACAGCTGACCACAGGATCATTCAAAGAACAGAGGGCCCCAGGAAACCTGGGAGTTGAAAGGTTGAACCCTAAAAAGCAAGCACCTCTGTGGAAAGGCGGGATGCAAGCCAGGAGGGATGCGGGGTGAGGGTTCACGTCTGCTTTATGTATGCATATGGTGTGTGGAGAGGTGTATGGTGGAGTTGCCAGGAGGGATAGATGGCTGTTTGTGAGCCACATGTTTCTGCTTGTAAGGGTAGTGAACTGGTGTGTGAACCAGTGTGAGGTTGAATGTGTGTGGCTCTACAGTACTAAGGAGCTTGGTAGGAGATTAGGGATACCTGGTCATGGCCAGGTAAATCCACTATAAGAGCAGACACTGTTGGACTTAAAGGGTTTGTCAGATGCAGACTCACAGTGATGCCATTATAGCATTGTTCCTCCTTCAGTTAAATCCGGAAGGAGATCCATAGGACCGGGAGTCAGGGTTGACAGGGCCTCCAGAGAGCCTGCGAAGTGAGGGTCAGGGAATCCACTTGCTAGCATCGCACCTCTGTCTGTGTCTAGAAATTTTTAGTTCTGTTCTTTAGGTCTTGCTATCTTCACTTAATTTACTAGAAATCAAATCCCCTCAATCCCTCATCCTAATAATCTCTTGTTGAATTCAGCCCAGGCAGCCAAAGACAACTTTCTCCTAAGTATTTGACTCACATTTGTGTTGTTACTTCACACCCTCACCTTGGGACATTTCCCCCTGCCCAGGCCTAGGCATTGAATGGTCTTGTAGATAGGTCCTTGTGGTCATAAGAATTATAATAACTATTATAACCTTCAAGCTTGGAGAGAGAAGAAGTGGAAAGAGCAAATGTGACTGAAGTGAAGTCTAGGTTTGGGAGTCATCATTTACAGTTATACACATCTCTGTATCATCTATTTATTTATATATTTTGCAGGACAGTATTGGGGATTAAACCCAATGTCTTCACATTGAGCTATACCCCCAGACTTTTAAAAATATTTTATTTTGAGAAAAGATCTGTAAGTCAGTAAGTCTATAAGCTGCCCAGGTTGGACTCAAAACTTGCAGTCCTCGTGCCTCAGCCTCTGGTAATACTAGGATTATAAGTGTGCAGGGCCACATCCAGTGATCTCCAAGTCTTGATTCACATGTTTGTATAATTGGGATAAAAATTATATCCTTATGTTTTTGTTTTTGTAGTGCTGGAGATCAAACCAGAGCCTCACAAAAGCCACTGAGTTGTATCTCCAGAGCTCTGTTAAGGTTGTTAGATAGATCATACAAAGAATTCTGTATAACCCACCCCATAAGATGTGGTTATGACCATGGGGGGAAATCTAGATTGCAGGCAGGTCAAAGGCTACAGTTTGGGAAGTCTTGTTTGATAGTGTGTGCTTGATCTCACAATGTAGAAAAATGGCTCTCTGGCATGTTCATGATAGAGAATCTTACATTTAAGGATGAGCAACTGCCTCTTCTTCTGGTGGGTTTTTTTTTTTTTTTTTTTTTTTTTTTTGTACTGGAAATTGAACTCACAACTAGCACTTGCCAGGCAGGCATTCATGCCACGGAGCTAAATCCCCAGTCCCTCTTTTCCAGTTTTGAGAGTAAAGAAGAGGCTCCTGGGGATCTGGGTGGGAAATACAGAAGTCTGTTGGAGGAAATAGGTTGGGTCCACATGGCAGAATGGCCATGGGCTTATTTGTAAGAAAGTGTCTGTTCTTCCAAGGTTAGGGAGTTGGAATGGTGGCAATTATTTCTTCAGCTTCCCTCCCATCCCAGTGTTCTGGGGTTAGGCTGACCTTCCCTATCTCCTTTACTTATCAGGATCTCAGAGATCAAGGGATCATAATGCTGTTTGGCCCACAGGCAGGCCTTTAGGTTACTGCTTTTAAATCACTGGAAGGAAATGAGAACAAAACTAAAAACCTTCTTGGGTCTTAGAGGAGCAAGAGAAGCAGGAGAAAAGGTGGTTGGGTATGCATGTAGTTAGAAGGGAGGTGAGAGAAAAGGGGAGTCTCCTCCTTCCCTCCTAGGCTCTGCCAGGACAAGTGACACCCCCTCCTTCTGCCCTAATCTCCCCATTAAGGCAACTCTGAGTTTGTTATGACAGCAGCTGAAGGCAGCTGAATTGCTGTTTGCTGTGTCTGCTAATTGGACTGAAGGGTTAGAGTCTGGACACTGAAAGGGACCATTGTTGCTGTTTACCTTCCACAGCTGCCTCCCTGGGGTCCCTGAGGGTGAAGGGGAGCAGCTTGTCCTGAGGTCTTTCCACCTATCCCTGTTTCTGTACCAAGTACCATGGCAGGGAGACACTTATGTCCTCACTTTGAGATGGTCTGAGCTTCCACAGCACAAAGGACACAAGCCCAACACCTGAGTGGTTATGAGGCCAGGCCCTGGGGACATGTATGAGCCCATAAGTGCCTATCAGCATGGGAGTTATTCGCCCATCTTTCTCCTCCCTATCTGTTCTTTCTTCTTTAGGGTTACGGTCCTCCAACCCATCAGGCTTCACCTCTGCACTTTTTCTATCTGCTTCCTTCTAGGCCAATGATTCACAACTTGATTATGCAATGCAAATAATGGGGGGGGCACTTTTTTTTTTTTTTAAAGAATACAGATGTTTGGGCTCAGCCTCAAACCAATGAAATCAGAATATCTGGGAATGAGATCCAGGCTTCAGTTTCATTTACTGAACAATGTGGATTAAGAACCACTATGTAGTTTCATCTCTGCCTGGAAGACACACACACACACACACACATCTTGGTCGGTCCCTGCCTCTTTTCTACTTACACTCCTGATATCTGCAAATGCTATCAGGCTGGGTGTATCTTTCATCTATTGCTAAAGTCCTTTTAGGAACCATAAAAATTAGATGTCTTTAAGTATTCTCTCTCTCTCTGTCTCTGTCTGTCTGTCTGTCTCTCTCTCTCTTTTTCTCTCTCTCTTTCTTTCTCTCTCTCTCTCCCTCTCTCTCCTCAACCTGAGCTCTTTCCTAAGGGCAAAAAGCACCGACTCCACCTCCTTCTGGATTTCCCACTAAGATCTAGAGGAAGTTTGGACTGATCTGCGGCACTTAAGTTCGAGATAAAGGACTGGGAAGCTCTGTGGTTCATTGACTCTCCTTGCTGTCCTTCCCTCCTAGGATTATTGCCAATTTGGAGGTTTCCAAGGAGAAGACTTTCTTCTGGGCTACATTCCTGTTTCCTTACTGTATCTAACTCTGCTTCTCTTCCTTTTAGTTTCTCACCTGAGCTGGGGCAGGTGGGTGACCCACCACCCTCCCGCCCTCTTTCCTTCCGGAGATGACTGAGCCACGTCCAGCACCACGGACAGCTCCCCGTGGTGAGTTAGGTGCTGTGCCGACCTTTTTGGAGGGTGAGGAGGGGCTCTCCTGTAGGTACCAATAGACGTCAAACAGCCTAGAATTGACTCAGAGATTTGCTTGTGTTTGGCATTCCTATCTACAGGAAATCAGATTTTTCTTCATGTGAGGACTCTGAATGACGGATCGCTCCAATAGGAGAAAGGGTGAAAGTGAGATTTTGGGAAGGAGTCAACCTTAGGTAATGTAAGACTTGGGATGGACAGACCAGGGAAGGCTACAGTAAGCCCTGTGTCCTTTTACATATCCCAAGGGTGTGAAGTGGGGTAATCCAGGCTGCACTGTTGGTTCGTGGAAAGCCAAGACGCAGGCTTTGAAATTCAGCTTGGCCCTTTCTACACACCTGGTGTTTCCCAGGTTAGGCAGAGCAAGTCTAATGTGGTAGGGAGGTTTATAGGTTGCTCTCATACAAAAAAGGAGAGGATGCATGTACAGTGTCCATGAAAGCAAGAAAGAGGTAGACTGACAGTTGTCCCTGTTTGAGGAGGCCTGGAGGGAAGGCCCCAGGGAAAAGCACAGGGAAAGGTATACCTAGCCATAGCTGGCAAGCCATGAGAGAAAAGGCAAGGAACCACCATCTGCCAGGGCACAGAAGCCAGTGGATGGCCACAAGGAGTCTCCAGAGGCCAGCAGGAGTCACACAAACTGGAACAAGGCCTGGGAAAGGCCCTTCTGTGTGCCCATGCCTGCTCCCCAACACCGTGAGCCTAGAAACAAAGAGGCTATTCTCTCAAATTTGATGCCGCCATCTCTGGCTGGCAGTGCCAGGTGGTGGGGGCATCAGGGGGCGTCAATCCATTATCTAACCCCCCATCTCCTAAGTCCTCTGGGGCTGGATGTTGGGGAGGTGGGTGTTCCATACTACATTGCCATGGCAACCACCCCAGCCCCCAATCCCTAAAGCACAAAGAGAGACAGCTTTCACCCCCACCTCCAGGAAGAACCTGGGTCTGGCTGGGAATCTTCCCTTGGGAATCCTCTTTCTGATGCACAAGCCATGGCATGCATAAGCATCACCTTTTTAGCACCCAGAACAGAAGAGTCTGGCATCAATAGGCCATATAGACAGGGAGGCTGGTGTGCCATGTCTGGATACAAGTGAGTACCCTTCCCATGTACTTAGCCCTACTCTCCCCAAGCTCCCTGCTTCTCACCTATAGTCAAGGCCCTCCTAGGTCTTCTCAGCTGAATCAATGGGCCATGACCTTCTACTCTTTCCCAGCATTGAGGGATACCCTGTCACCCTCAGCAAACCTCCAGGTTGTGGGAATGGAGAAAAGGAGGGACCATTTGTAACACCCTCCATCTGCACCCTCTACCATTACTCATTAAGCATTCTGCCCCCTCCTTCCGCTTGTTAGACCTGATTTGCATACATTTGCATAATACAGTTCATTTGCATTCCAGGAGGCTCATGGTAGAAGCCAGGAAAAGCAGGGAGGGGGTTAGAGAAAAGAGTAAAGGGGAGAGATTTTGTTTTCATCAAAGTGGGGGTGGTCCTGGGGAGGTGGCAGGAAGAGGACAGAAATAAAAACTCACACTACTCTCTTTCTTCCCTTCTGCCCTCCCTCCCTGAACTGGACTCAAATGCCAAAGAGAGATGCCAAGCAGTCGGCATTTCTGTCCTTTTTTGTCTTTCTTCCTCCGGCCTTGGCTCCCTAGCCTGGCCCCCCACCTTGTTGGACTCAGGCTTCAGAGAGAAAGAGGCAGGGGTAAGAGGCAAGCTGTGGGAACGGAAGTAGAGAGAGGGAGGCCGCCATCTTAGGTAGCTGGCACCCGTGAAATGGCCGCCTCTGGCAGGTGTGGGCTGAGAACCAACTTTGGTTGGTGGACATGGGGGAGAGTGAGGCTTATAGGAAGGATTTTCTGACTGACCAGAAATATATTTGAATCTTTCTACTAGTGGAATTAAGGAGAGAGAGGAGGGAAAGAAGAAAGCATAGGCCATGAAATGATGTGAGATTCATCAGTACAGCAGGTAGTACAGAAACCTCAGTATGTAGGTCTCAGAGGGTTTTGAGCACTATGGATAATGTTGAAGGCACAGTGGGTATCAGAACAGTGGGTATCAGTAGGGAGGAGAGGGTGAGCTGTGGGTAACAAGGATCATCTGCCAATTTGAAGATCGCTCAAGCCAGTGAAAAGCCATTGTGATTTGGAGGTGACACTTCATCTCCCCTCTTCAGTTTAGCAGTCTGGCCTCCCTCTTCATAGCAACAGTGAAACTGTATTCTCTCAAAGCTCAGTTATGGCCTCCTCATCTGGGCCTACTAACCCTTTCTTAGAATGGGTCCTCCTTGGGGCTGGGGATTTAGCTCAGCGGCATAAACGCCTGCCTCTCAGGCAGTCATAAGTTTGATCCCTGGTAACAATAAAAAAGAAAAAGACAAAAAAAAAAAAAAAAAAAAAAGAATGGGTCTTCCTTGACCTTTGTGGAAATTTTCATGTTAATATCATCCCATCTTCCCCGCTGGCCTTTGGTTCTTCTGTTGTATACTAGATTATTCTCCCTTGAGTGTCACTCACTGAGTCTTCTGAATCAACCAGTTCTCCAATCACAAGTGTTCCTCAAGCTTCTACTGTGAGCACTCTATCATTTTTCTCCTTTCCTGTCTTCTGCATTTTCCTCACTTCAGCTATCAGCTGAAGTAATATGCTCTCATTTCCTTAATCTTAATCCAAAATACTAAGTGTACTCTTAACTGCTACCTGGAGTTGCAACCCTTAGCTCCCTGATCAGAGATCAGGAGGATCCCATGCATAGGTACTAGCTGCAAGGAGTGCTGGGGACATACCTGTGCTCTAGCTGTGTAGTGGTGGCATGGAAGTACCAGGACTCAGGAGGAAGCCATGTTCAGGGGTTTGGCTGCTAAACTTTCTGTTTCTTCTCTCTGTAAGGGGCATCAGACTCTGAAGTTCTCAGGTTTAAATTCAGGGCACTATCATAGGCTTGCCTCATCCATACCAGTGCTGTCAAAACCTATGATTTCTGAAGGCTGAGGATTTAGCTCAGTGGCATAAGTGCCTGCCTTGCAAGCAGGCAGTCATGAGTTCGATCCCTGGTACCAATAAAAATGAAAAAGACAAAAAAAAAAAAAAAAAAACCCTGTGACTTCCTTCTTTTTGGCACATCTTGCATCCCTGCCTTTCTTTTCCTCACCTCTGCCTTCAATCATCTCATTTACTCAGCAAACATTTGTTGAAGCCCTACTATGTGATGAGTGCCATATGAAGAAGGTTGAACACAAAGCTGCTGTGGAGAGCTAGCTGTCTACAGAGAAGGCAGACACCATGCCATGTTCCACAGGCCCACACAGAGTGCTGGTGAGCCCTGGAAAAGGGCCTTCAGGCTACGTTAGGGAGCTGAGGAAGGCTTCCTGGATAAGCGACCCAGGTATGTAAGGGTTTATCAATTTAAGGGATCTGAGGAGGTAGGTGATCCCAGGATTTGGGAGGCTGAGGCATGAGGATTGACCTAAGTTCAAGGCAGCCAGGTCTATATTGTGAGACCCTGTCTCAAAAAAAAAAAAAAAAAAAAAACAGGAGATAGATAGAGAGAGAGAGAGAGAGAGCCCTTCATACCATGTGAGGGAGGCCAGCTTTGCTGCTGATGTGGTGCTGGGGAAGTTTGCTGATAGCCCAAGACCCTATGCATAGGATGGGGAACAATACAAGGAGGACTGGGGACTCCTACTTCTGGTCGCCCTCTGAGCCTAGCACTCAGCAGACATTTATTTTCCTGGCTCTCAGCTGCTTCCAAATAATGTAGGGATGTATGGCAGGCCTGGGAGCCAAGTTTGCATCCCTGCCACTCCCTTTTGGAATCTCCTCCATCACGCACACACACACCCACACACATGTGGGTGGGGACAGGAGAGGCTTGTGGGAGCTCTCTGGGGGAGAGATGTAGAGAAGTGAAGAGCTGAGGTTGGGTCTCTAGCACAATGAGCATCCTAGGGTTAGGGCAGCAGATGGGCGTGGAGACAGGGACAGGGACCCTGGCCCTGACTTTCTGAGGCAATGAGTTAGTCTCTGAACTCTCCTGAAAAAAATTTAAAAGGATTCAAGAGGTCAAAGTCTACAAGTCCAGGGAGCTGGAGTGGACAAACAGAAAGGGGCAACTGTAAGGAGTTCTTTAGAAAAACGTGACCAGGAGCAGGAGGACACCCAGTGAGATGAGGAGGCTGGAATGCAAGAGGGGGTGCCTGCTGCCATCTTGGCCCCCCCCCCCCCGTCAGCCTTTGCACAAAGACTTCTTTGTGAGTGGCATGGAAATGGCCCTGTCAGGTGAGACAGCTTAGCTTCCTAAGGCCCCGGGGATGGGGTAAAGTGGAATTAGAGGAAGGGAGGGCTGATGGTGGCCTCAGGCTTTAACCAGGTCTGGACAGGAAGTAGAGAGGAACTGAGGTCTGGCCAGGGTCTCATGGTGAGGCTGTACAGAGCCATTTTTAGGACTGCCTCCCATCCCCCATGCAGTCAGCCTCCCCATCCCCACCCCACACGTAAGGCCCTGCCCCTGTCTGCTCCCTATTTCTCCCCTGCTATGCCTGCCAATCCTGCCAGGTGGTCTCTCTGGTCTTCCTTCCCAGCTCATACAAAGCTCTCCAGGGTGCCTTTGGGCCTGACACACCTGAACCTCCTCTCTTCTTCCTGCAGAATGGCTGTCAGGGTTCTCCCAGATCATGCCCATAGCCTCTCTCCAGGGAGAGCTGTAATAGAATGGTGGAAAGATAAGAGTAACCAGAGCCAGAAAGAAATGCTGAGGCCACTGCAGTCTCCAAGCCCACTCTTGTCTCTCTAGGGGACATTCTCTGACATTCCTCACTGCCAAGCTCTTGTGACCATCCTGGCCCTTCTAGTAGTTGTTTGAATTAGGACACTTGGAGTGGCAGAATGGTTGCAGTCATTGCCTCAAACAGCACCTTGCTCAGACTTGGTTGGTGGAAGGTTGTGTCTGCAGGAAGATCAAGAAAGCAAGGGATTTGGGGTTTTGACTCTGAACTTGGACAGGCTGGTTAGGATACATATTATGACTTCCTTCTCTTTCTAGCTAGGTGGCCTTTGGGTTTAGATTTTCTTCAATGGCTACCCTGAAAAATCAATAGAATGGTGTGATGGGAGTATTTGTAAAGCTGTGTGCAGATGTCAAATTAAAACTAAATGCCAAGAGAGAGTTGTAGGGCCATTGGGGGCTGCTGGGAGCAACCAGGAATAATTCCCTGTTGGAAATGTGAGCCTCAGGTGGCCAAGGAAGAGAGCAGAGGTTCGGGGGTGCGATCCATGACGAAGGCCCATTCAGGGAGGGTGTAGGGCTCTGTGACTGAAGTTCTTGGGGTCTGAAGCAAGTGAGAACTGGATAAGACTGGTTGAGAGGGGCTTGTTTTTAAGTGTGGTGGTCTTCTTAACATTGTATCTTTCCTCCTCCTTGGAGGGTATGCAGCTGCTGGCCACATATACACACCACCCAGCAATATTGGGAGGAGAAGAGGGACAGGGGGATCCCTGTATTCCCACTTTGCCCATAACCATCATATCCTCCAATGGTACCAAGGTCAAATATTATGGACTTACTCCTACATGAACGTGTGTAAGATGGTACCCCCAAGCCCTGACACCAGACACCCGTTGAAGTCCCATTTTCTGTCTGTTCAGCATTGCCAGGAGTAAGCTAAGTTCAGACAATCTATTTAGACTTCCAGGCCCCCAGGCCAGGGAGACTTTAAGCAGGAGGATCTTTTGTCTCTTAGCAGTCACTCCATGTTGTGCAAGCAAGAATCAGGAGGAGGAAAGACTTTGGATCAGGCTGAAGCTGGCATATGGAGGGAGAGCCCTGGGCACAAGGCATGAGCTTCACCCGGCTGGGGCTGCCTTCTGCTGGGATGGTCCATCTGGCACCAGCTGGCCTCCCAGCACCACCCCGACAGCCAACCTGACTCTTCCTGCTGTTGCCATGACAATTGGCTGCCATCTTGTACTTCAGTGACCTTCTATCTGGATTTTCCCATGGGATTCCTGGAGGATCAGAGATAAGCCTCTAGGGATTTTTCAGATACTCATCCCATAAAATGCACATTGATGCATGATTTTTTAAATGGCCAAAATGGAAAACATACTATGCATCAGGCTCTGTGATAAGGGTTATTTCATGTAGCTTAGTAAGAGTTAATGACTAAAATTCCAGAAGTGGGCCAGGGATTTATCTCAGAGGCACAGGCGCCTGCCTGGCAAGCGCAAGGTTGTGAGTTCGAGCCCCAATTTAAAAAAAAAAAAAGAATAAACAGCTCATATATTAAGATATGTCTGTAAGGCTATAAGTAGATTTCTCAGGGTCAGGGATCTAACTCAGCAGCATAAGTCCCTGCCTGGCAAGCACGAGGTCATGCGTTTGATCCCTGGCACACACACACAAAAATTCTAAAAATCCTAACCTAGTTTCTATACCAAGTTGATTTTTCCTCTCTCCAACCAGAACATTCTGCAATCTTATTCCTGCCTTAGGAAGTCCTTCCCAAAGTCTAACCAAGACTTGTACTGCTACAGCACCAGTTCTTTGACCTGTGGCTTGACATGGCTGAGGGGAGAGGTAAGGAAAGAATTGTACCTAGATTTAGCTGCTTAATGGAGATTCCTGGAACCCAACTATTGGGAAAGAGAAACAGACTTATTTAGCTTGGTTGAAGGGCCAACTATCCCTTTGAATACTTGTATGTCCACACTCAAATCTTTTGTTTATGGAAGTCAAGCCCCAAAAGTGTTTTGAGTAGGAGGGTCTTTTCTTCCTTTCAGCACCCCCAAAGAGAGGCAGGAGAGAGGGTCTTCTGGGACTTCTGCTGGGGTCCTGTTGGAAACCAGCCTTTTCCTTCCCACTACCATGGAGTTCCAACAGAGGCCATGAAGGATGCTGGGATGGTGAGTTCTTTCCTTCCAGGGCCCAACCAGAAGCAGAGAATGATCACTTTGACCTTGAGGGCCATCTATAGGGACCACCTTTGCTGAGGAGACCCTGAATGGGGAGCAGGTGGAGAGAAAAAGGAGGTTGTTTTTGACTGAGGAAGGATGGCCTGGAAGGGAGGGGGTAGGGGATAATTTATGATATCATCCCCCGCCCCACTTTTCCAGCCACCACACCTCTCCCCAGCCCCCTGCTACTGTACTGTTGCTAGGAGATCCTGCTTTGCTGTGTCTGGGGCTAGCAATGGAGCAAAGGAGCTATGGGCTAGCAGTAGGAGGCTCTTCCATCTGGACTCTTCCTCCTCCATTCAGGATCCACCCACAGACCTTCCCAGGCTCTGACAGACACCAATCCCATACCTCTTCTGCTCTTTCCCCAAATCTAGCCAGCCGGGGGGAGTAGGGTTCCTGGGCATGCTGGAGGGTCTGGAGCAAGGAGTAGGAAGGGATGTCTAGGGCCAGAGACTGACAGAGACTCCAAACAACAGCTGGCCTGCTCTGGGACTTGTTAGTCGGCCAAGGCCAGGACACAGGTCACAGGGTGTCCAGGACACAGACCTTGAGGAACTCAGTTTTGGAGGAGACATTCTTTAGCTTTGGATGTCTCCTCATATGTGAGGAGCAGAGCAGAATTCGCATTCCTATTACTCCATACTGTCAAGGTCAAGGTTAGGGGCCTGAAAGGGGAAGGAGGAGGAGGAGCCAAGGCAGGGAGGGGAAGCCCAAATCCAGGTGGTAGGATGATGACCCAAGTCTACGTTAGGCAACACTGGGGTGGGGGGAGATCCCCTTCTCTTTCTAAAACTGCATCTTTTCTCATATTTTGAGGCTCTTGGAGATGTCAATTCAAGGTGAACTTTAGAGGCTGCTGAAGCCGCTGGCTCCCATCTTTGGATGGGACAGGAGCCTTCTGACAACTGATTTCTGGGCAGCTGGCCCCTGCCTATTATCTCCTCTCTCTCCTTTTGAAACAGGGTCTTAGCAATGAAGCCCAGGCTGGCCTCCAACTCAAGAATCCACCATCTGTCTGCTTCAGCTTCTCAAGTTCTGGGATCGCAGGTTGGCTACATGTGTCTGTCTTTGAGTCGGTTTCCCTCACCTCAAGAAAGGCAGGAGCAGCCTGGAGTAGGCATCTACTTGATTCTGTGAGTATGTTCTTAGCTCTTGTCTCAGTTAATCTTTCCAACAGTCCAGAAAACAGGGCCACCCTGTCCCCACTTTTCACAGGAGAAATCCAAGCCTCAAGAAGGAGATGTCACTTTCCCAGAGAAACAAGAGTAGTAAATAAGGCTGAGCTAGAAATGGAGCTTTGTGTATCCCAAAGTGTATGCTCCCTCCCGTGCCCAGGCTGACTTCCTGTGGAGAGGCTAGGAGAAAAGAGGACTAGATGGGCAGACTCTAAGGGACATCCCTGTGGGATGAAGACTGGATTGAGGAAGAGACCATAGGAGCTATGGAAGTCACTCAAATCCTCTCTGATTGGTCTCTAGCCCAAAGGAAGCACCCACCAACCCTCCAGTTCCCAAATCAAGTTTTCCGGGCTTCTTGCCTATTTCTTGAACATGAATTCTTGGGATCTGAGGCTCTGCCTAGGTAGAGCCCTTGTCACTGTCTTGGTGGCTCTTGTCATGGAGCCCTCCCCAGCACCTTGCTTTTCCTGATGGGAGAGGGGCCTCCAAGTTCACAGGAAATTTCCCCTCTGCCTTTTCCTAAATTTTCCATACAGACTATTTATTTCATTCTTAACAAATTTTTTCTTTTCTTTTTTTTTTTTTGACAAATTTTCCTTTCAGTACAAAAAGTATAAGCAGCTACTTCACCCAGTTGGCTGTGTTCCTCCAAGAAACCTTCCTGGGTTGGCTAAAAGATGAGATTCAGCTGCAGCGGATCAAAGTTGATGAAGATGGAGCAGAAATGGGAAGAACCCAGCCCCTGGCCTGGGCAACTCAGGCCACCTACAGTCACTGGGATCAAACCTCCCTGGACCCATTGCTCCTATGTCTATCATCTGCCCATTCTGGCCATCAGTTTACCCTGTCATTTCAGCTGGGACTCCTGTGTCCTCAGAGAGGGAAATCTCATCTCATGTTCTAATAAAATCTTTTGAATATTTAGTGATAACAATGGTGGTAGTGGCTGTTCCTTGGTGGGTCTGAGAGGGAGGGCTCCCTAGAACAGAGGTCAACTGCTAATGAAGCCACATTGTTACACAAGGACAAAGCCCCTCTGAAGTCAGTACACCCACCAGGTGAGAGGTTCCTCCCACATAGCTGGGCCACCTCCGTGCCGTGCCCAAACTCATCCATGATCTATCTGGTCCACCCCAAATAGGAGAGATGTACAGATGTTCCCAGTTGAGGAAGCACCTGAGGACCAGACAATAGAAGAGGATGTGCTCATCATGGTGCCTGGGGGCCACTGTGCCTTCCATGACTTGCTCAGACTTGTTCTCAGGATCTGCATAGTCCCCAGGGGAAGAGCATCTCTGTCCCACAGGGCCACCCTTCTGCTTTCTCTCTGTCCATAGTCAGTGGAGACAAGGAGAAGATGAATGTGACTAGCATGAGGAATTCAAGTTAAATTGCAAGGAGGGCTGATCAATAAAAATAAGACCTTCAAATGAACACGAAGGGGCATAGAAGTCAGAGCAAGAAATCAAAACTATGAGCGGGCACAGCAGTGCCCACCAGCAATCGCAGCTACTTGGAAATCTGAGGCAAGAGGACTGAAAGTTGGAGACCAGCCTGGGCAACCTAGCAAGATCCTGTCTCAAAAGTGTTATCTATTTATTTTTTATTTTTAAGACAAGGGGCTGAGGATTTAGCTCAGCAGCATAAGTGCCTGCCTTGCAAGCAGGTAGTCGTGAGTTCGATCCCCTGTACCGATAAAAAGGAAAAAGACCAAAAAAAAAAAAAGCTATTTTTAAGACAGAGTCTCTATGTAGTTCAGGTTAATGTTTGTTGTTTTAGTTCAGGTTAATCTTGAACTCATTACGTATGTAGCCCAGGCTACTTGTGGGAATCATCCTGCCTCAGCCTCCCAAGTTCTAGAATTATAGGTTTGAGCCACAGTGCTTATCTTTCTTTTTTCTAGTCTTTTTATTTAATTTTTTTTTTTTTTTTTTTTTTTTTGGTGGTGGTTCTGGGGATTGAACTCACAACCTCACTTGCCAGGCAGGTACTTTTGCTACTGAGCTGCCCTTGAACTCAGTTTGTAGCCCAGTCTGTTCTCGAACTTGCAGCAATCCTCCTATCTCAGCCTCCCGAGTTCTGGGATTTCAGGTGTGGACCACCATACCCAGCCTCTGTCTTTCAAAATAAGATTTAAAAAAATTAAAAGGCTAAGGAAGTAGTTTAGTAGAAGCAGTTCAGGCACCTACTTACCTAACATGTGCAAAGGTCTAGGTTCAACCCCTAGAACCACTCCCCCACCAAAAAAGAAAAAAATTAGAACTATGCCTTTGACCTCATTTTGCCCATAACATCTGCACCCAACATGTTCCTTCTAAAAGACGACTCTGCTGAAGAGTGCTCGCAGTACCCAGACTACCATCACCTTTTATGGTCTTTATCACCCTCCAGAAACTTCTTCCTGTAAAACCACAATTCCTCCAAGAAATTATAGTCTGGATCCCAAAATCTTTCTAAATTCCATAGCAAAAAGCGAAAATGTATTTCCTTCCCACCCCATCCCAAGAGGCAACCATTGGTACCAGAGTCCTCCATGAGGTGCTCTATACCCTTCCAAGCAACATGCACTCCCTACCATTTGCATTCTGATCACTGGCCATCAGCTCCTCTGGACCAGGCCTCCCAGCCAGAGATGAGACACAGTTGCCCATGTTGTCGGCAAGGTGCTGGTCAAGCGCTGCTTAGAAGTCTCCTATCAAGAACCTTGTGGCCTCCCCCTCTTTATGTCCTTCCTAGCTTCACACAGGAAACTATAGAGGGGGAAGACTATGCCCTGGTGCTCAGCATGGTGCACATCTGTCAGGACAAGAGGTTTACATGCCAGAATCTTTGGGTCCCCCAGAAGGGCAGGTCCAGGAGGACACATTGGGGTAGCATATGCTGAGGGAGTAGCCATTCATTTCATCTCAATCTGGCCTACCTGATTAGCACTGTGCCTTTGACCTCATTTTTGACCTGGCTCATGATTGCCAGGTCAGAGGGGTGTTCCTGAGGCTTGCAGCTCTCATTCCACAGGACCCAGTGTAGTGGAGGAAGCAGGATCTGACTCCATCAGTCAGCACCACTCCTCCTGCCTTTGTTTGGACCCAGAAGCCGGAGCACGGCCTTCCTGGGTCCCTTAGCCTCTGGGTGTCAGGAGCCCTGGTCAGGGAGTAGCAGCCATCACTGAGACAACCCTCTGCCTCCAGTAGTGGTCTCCTGCTTGGAAGGCAGGCTTCTGGGTGAAGGAGCTGTGGTGGCTGGAGGTGGGAAGGACTCCTCTGACAGGAAAGGAAAGGGGCAGGCGAGACAGCAGGTGGGAAAGGAGCACAGAAAGACCCAGAGTCAGACAGGGGCAGGAGGGGTCCTTCCCTCCGCAGAGATGCCAAGACTGGGGTGGGAGGGAACAGGCGGGACACTTTGGAATGTGCTCTCAGAGTCCCACTGAGTCTATGCAGATGAGATCTGTCTGTATGCAAATAAGCCCGTCTGTATGCAGATAAGGAAGGATGGCATTCTCTTCTCAGGGTTACCATAGAGCCCACCCCCTCCCCATCCCTAGGGCTCCAGCTGCAGGGCAGACGAAAGAGGCCAGACCTGAGGAGAGGCAACCTGCAATAGAGTTAGACTTCAGGAAGGATTGACTAGCCAAAGAAAACTGGCCAGTTCCAGGAAATAAACTGAAGGTAAAAAGGGAAATATAGATGGGTTCCTAGGAGAACTGGGCAGAAATGGTGAGGGCAGACCTCAAAAGTATACTCTAGGCGCAGGAAAATGGCAGGCCAGCTGGTAGAGAGCTCTGAGAGGAGGCTATAGAGGATGGAAGGAGAGGAACTGCTCCTCTCCAGGCCTTCAGCGCTCCCTTCCCCCACAGTGCCATTGGATAGGATGGTGACCCTAAGAGGCTCTTTTAAGACAAGGCGTAGGGAGGGCGAGACTTGCCCAGGCCTAGTCCAGGCCACAGCCTGCCATGGCAGGACCTCTGCCTGGCTGACCTCATTCCAGGCAGCCACAGCTTAGAATGTCCTCCACCTTCCTAGCAAGCAGAGTCTGGCACAACCCTTCCTGACCTGAGGGACGTGTTAAGGGAAGCCTGCACCCCAGAAGAGCCCTAACTGGGCTCAAGCCCACAGTAGGCTGCCAACTGTAGAGTTGGGAGTGAGGCTACTGGGAAGCAACTGGCTGGGGAGACACCAAGAGGAGACGCTGGGGCTAGGAAGCAGGCCAGAGACAATCCAGTGGGGGGACTAAGACCCAGAGAGGTTGGGACAGTTGCCCCTCACTCAGCAGCTCCAAGCCCAAGTTGGGCACAGCTCAAGGCCCCTTCCTTGGAGCACAGAGGCTATGGGTGGAGGGACCATGAGAACAGCCTTTTCTCTTCCTCTAGCAGCTCCCAGCCCCCCACATCCAACAGTACAACAGTGTAGCCCAGGCCTTTGTGGGGAAGCCATGGGGAAGAGGGGCCCCTTGTTGGCTTGCTCATCTTGCCTGAGGCTTGGTCCATGCCAGCCACTGCACTGGCTGGACTCTTCTTCCTGGGGGTGCCTCTGCCCCACCCAGCTCCATCGTTTCCTGGAGCCTCAGGACTTTGGCCATGGTCCCAGCTGAAGGATGAAGGGGAGCCCTGGCCCCCATGCTCCCTGCACCTCACCATTCACATGCTGGCACCAGAGCCGTGGGAACGCTGGATGGCAGCTGGGCATCCATGCCCGGCTCTGCCCACCCCCAACCCCAGTGACCTCAGAGAGGGGAGAAGAACAGTCTGCCCCCAAAAAGCCCCTCCAAGATGAGGCCATAGAAATCCTTAGCACTAATTATGAATCTGGGGACAAACAAGGCATTTGCAAGTCAATTAGTGACAAAACTTTCCCAGGAAAGGGCTTCATCCAGGCTGGGCTTCAGACAGGGCCACATGCTGGGTCATCTTGTCCCTCCCCTACCTCTCCCTGGCCTGCAGCTCCAGGATGGAGCCAGCTTGTGTTCTGCCAGCCCCTATGTGACAGGGGGCTCCAGGGCTCCGAGTGGGGATAAGAGCAAAAGGCCAAGCTGGCTTCACTGGAGTTAGCAGGAGGTCACACAGGGCTGCCACCAGGGGGCATGTGTCAGGGTGCTGGCCTCAATTCCACCTGCAATAGTGCTGCCTGGAAGGAGATGCCAAGGGGGCAGCTTGCCCAGACAGGGTGGCTAGGTTGACAGAAAAATAGAAATCATTGTGAAGGGGCCAGAGATGCTTCCAGAGAACTCAGAGAAACCAGGACAAGGAGAGAGACCAAGGGGGAAGACAGCTGATTTCAGGCATTCTAGCAATTGTACCCAGGCCAGGAGAGACAAGGCCCTCAGGGTGGCAGCTCTACCTGTAGAAAAACTTCCAGGTAACTAACTGGGCAACCAGGGCCAACCCCATCGACAAAGAGAGAGCAAGCTGGGTGTAGTGGCACACACCTGTGATCCCAGCACCGAGGGAGGCTGAGACAGAAGGATCACAAGTTCAAGTCCCACCAGGATAACTTAGTAAGACTGCCTCAGAATAAAAAATAAAAAGGCTAGCTCAGTGGAAGAGTTCCCCTGGGTTTGACCTGAAATACCAGCCCCCTAAAACAAACAAACGTAAAAAAACCACAACTGAGCATAGGATCTTGCTTCACACAAGGCAGAGGGAAGGGTTGGGGAAAGGCTCTGTGAGAGAGGACCCCTTAATTGGGAGAAGAGAGGAAGGGAAAGGGGCTATGCAGGGCAAAAGCCCTAGAGCCAGCCCTGCCATCTGAGGGAGATTAAGGGATTATAATTAAAATGCATTTGCAGGACTTGAGCAGGTGGGTCGGGGCTGGTGCTAAGGATCTAATTGCTGCCTCTCATCAGGGCTTTCCAGGGGCTCTGTAATGAGGGGAGGGGCTTTCAGGGAGGTGAGTGAGAAGAGGCAGTAAAGGGGCAGGAGGGGCTCTTTTCTTCACACTT